GGTCTCGGCCCCTGTGCCCCGCCCCCACGTCTGCGGCCTGCGTGGCCTCGCAGCGGCCCTGGGCGTCAGGCCAGCCAGCGTCATCCTCGGAGGGGGCCTCCAGCCTCCCCCGCATTCGGGCTGGGGGGCGGCACCCCCAGGTGCGACTCCTGGCCCCTCCGAGGAGGTTGACGGGGTAGTCAGATTTTTAAAGTTTTGTACAAAGTTTTCCTTTGTAATCATCCCCATTTTTACTTAACAACTGACTTATCGTGGCTCTTATTTCTGAACTCAAAGCTTGTGAAAAAATAAAAGAAACAACTCGCTGGCTGGCCGGAGTGTGTCCAGTTACGTATGGCCCCGCTGCCTGCCGATGGCAGAAAGGGCGTCCCCCAATAACTGGCGGGGTGCTGGCTTCTGACGGACACCCCCTTTCTAGGCAGTGGGGACAGGGAGGGCAGGAGGGCGTGTGAGGGCCCAGGCTCTGAGGCCAGGGACGGGGAGAGCAGGCTGGCGGCCGGCCGCGGTGCAGGTGGTAATGGCCAGGTGACCCCTGCGTCAGGTGCCCTGTTACTGGGGCGCAAGCAAGTGACCCCTGCGTGCCAGGTGCCCCACACAGGGGAACAGTGCTCCCATCTCACGAGTCCTGGAGGGTCCAGCACTTGAAGACCACACAGAAAGCGGCCGAGCCAGTCCACAAGCTGGACCCGGAGCTCCGGGCTCCTGGCTGCTACCTGCCGGGTCCGGCAGCCTGAGGCCCGACGTCGCCCTCCCACCTGCTGCCCCGTCCGGCCGAGGGCCGTGCTGGACTTGCCAGAACAAGGCTCCGTGCAGGGAGGCCCGGAGGCCCCCGCGTGGCCGGGAGGGGGAGGCCCCCGCCTGGCGGGGAGGGGGAGGCCCCGCGTGGCGGGGAGGCGATCCGGTGGCGGGGGCAAGGGCCCGCGCACTCACACGCAAGGACAGCTCACTTCCACGGCCAGGGCGCAGTAACAGCATCACGGCAGTGAAAGGACAGGCACGCAGAAGGTTCCAGAGCAGTGGGGTGGCGGCAGGGCGCCGCTGCCCTCCTCTCTGCTCGGCCTTTCCTCTCCACCCGCAGCCATCGGCCATGGAGGCCCAGTCCCCACTCCCCTGCCCTGAGGCCGCTGGCCGCCCTCGCCCAGGGCCTCTGCCCCACTGGCCACTCGTTGACGCTGCCCTCTGGCCGCAGGGCCGCACGGACACGGTGACCCTGGGAGCCGACACAACACCCCTCTCGCTGTGCCTGCTCGTACTTCCGCTCTTGACAGCAGGTGACTCCCATCCAGCGACTCGCGCCCCGCAGGTGATTCCAGTATAGCAAACTGCTTGGTCAAGAACGCCACAACTCAGCAGGAAGGGCAGGGAAGTGAAAAGCTCTTTATAGAGACGAAATGCTTTTACAGCCAGGGGGCGCCCTGTCCCCCGGGACTCCTGCTGGACCCCAGGCTCCAGGGCGTCCTGAGAGGCGGCTGCTTCCTGACGGACAGCCTCATTCGGGCTTTCAGAGACAGCCTGAGCCAGAAAGGCCCCCGCAGCTCCGAGTCCACCATCTCCTGGGCACGTGGCAGGAGTGTCCATGGGC